CAGGATATCCTTGACTCTGGGAGGGCCCCATCTGAAGATACCCCTCATGAATCCAGCCCTGCTTGTCATGCCAATGGGGACAGGGTGAAATATTTAAAGTCCCTTTGCATCATGCCCAGGTACCAGGAACTTGTTGAGCTTGTAGATGGCTTGCCAGAGACAGTAAGTGATAAACTTTCTTCAAATACCAGGTTAACAAACATTTTGTACAGGAACCTGATGCTGGACCAGTCAACCTGCCTGTCTGGGCATCTTGGGCCTGGAGTGCCCAGTATTTGCCCCAGGAGATGCATGGCAATGGGGATTCCTTCTGGAAGGCACTGTATCAATTGCAAAGTGAAAAGTTTGCATCCACCCAGAAAGGTCTTACCATTGTACTGGGATTTGGTTTGTTGTGGAGGGAGTGCAAAAGAGCACAGGACATAGAATCAGATGACCCTGAAGCTGCTAATCTGGGCTTTTTGCTAGGCTCAGGTCTTGATATCCACAAGGGGGAAGATGTTATGGGTGCAGTGGGGCTGGTAGTTGCAAGACTGCAGCAGAATTCTGGTGGCTCAAGCAGAGGGATTGGTGCACAGGAAACAACTGGGGTCAGTGCAGGGGATTCCTGTCCCACCCAGGGGGGTGGCATGAAGGAATCCTGGAATACAAGAAAGGATGTGAGGAAAAGAAAAAGGGGAGGCAGTGGGGATGTTGATCAGAAGATGGCAAAGGAGGGTGAAGAGGCAAGCAAGAAATCAACTAGAGCTCGTCAACCAACCAAGAGAGCTCTGGGTCTTGGTCTATAAATAAACTGTAGATGGTGTGAATCAAAAGGATCCCTATATATGGCTACCCATGCTCATTGCAAGTTTCAAACCCTGTGAGATCACTGACATCACCTGGAGGTGAAGAATAACCATGGATTCAGGGGGTAAGGCCACCCCCCAGTGAGGTTGGCCAACACTGGTCTCAGGGGGTATGTCCATCTGGAAGTGTCATCAGAGTCAATACTTCTGGTAACATCTAAATTGACAAGCAATTGATTATGCCAAGGGAATTTTCAGGGTTTGGCCAACCCTACTTCCAGGTGGTGAGGTCTGTGTCCATCCCCCAGTGAAATCGGCCAACACCACTTCCAGGGTGTGAGTCCATCACCCAGTGAGGTTGGCTGACACCACTTCCAGGGTGTGGGTCCATCCCCCAGTGAGGTCAGTGGACACCACTTCCAGGGTGTGGGTCCATCCCCCAGTGAGGTCAGCCGACACCACTTCCAGGGTGTGGGTCCATCACCCAGTGAGGGCGGCCAACACCACTTCCAGGGTGTGGGTCCATCCCCCAGTGAGGGCGGCCAATGCCACTTCCAGGGTGTGGGTCCATCGCCCAGTGAGGTTGGCTGACGCCACTTCCAGGGTGTGGATCCATCCCCCAGTGAGGTCGGCTGACGCCACTTCCAGGGTGTGGGTCCATCCCCCAGTGAGGTCGGCCGACACCACTTCCAGGGTGTGGGTCCATCACCCAGTGAGGGCGGCCGACACCACTTCCAGGGTGTGGGTCCATCACCCAGTGAGGTTGGCCGACACCACTTCCAGGGTGTGGGTCCATCCCCCAGTGAGGTTGGCCAATGCCACTTCCAGGGTGTGGATCCATCCCCCAGTGAGGTTGGCCGATGCCACTTCCAGGGTGTGAGTCCATCCCCCAGTGAGGTCGGCCGACACCACTTCCAGGGTGTGAGTCCATCCCCCAGTGAGGTTGGCCGACACCACTTCCAGGGTGTGGGTCCATCCCCCAGTGAGGTCAGCCGACACCACTTCCAGGGTGTGAGTCCATCCCCCAGTGAGGTTGGCCGACCTCCCTCCAACATGTCAGCCTATCCACCATCAGGGTCTATAGGCTGATGTCAGTTAGTCCCACTTTCAGGACCAAATGTGCATGTCAGATGACCCACTTTCTGGATTACATGTGACTGAAGGGTCTGCATGTGAGTCTTGATAGTGTCGATCGCACCGTCTGAATTATGGCCATCCGATTCTGTGGAGTTAAGGAGATACTGCAGGGATTCGAGATGTTCAGAGTGTCAACCTGATTGCGGCACAAATTAGGACCGGGGGGCCGGCCTTAGCCTCAAGTCCAACAGCACACAAATATAGCTTCACATATCTGAGAGCGTCCGTTTTTTTTTCTTTGGTTGACACACTCCTATGTTCTGTGGGTACCAGTGGGTGCTCTGCATAACACTAAGAACGCCTCAAGTTTCTGTGCATCCTTTTGTTCTGCTGACGTGCAGTTAATAGTATAGGCAGTCTGCATAACTGCTGAATTCCTTTGTTCCGCTGAAGTTGGAGAGGACCTACAGATTGTGTGCGCCACCATCATTTCGTGTATGGCACTAGTAATAGGATCAGCTTGTCAATAACCGAGGAAATTGACAACAGGAATAACCATTACATCTCTGAGATGGACGAACAGGAGATGTACTTAACAGAGATGAGGATGGGCATGACTCTTGCCACTCAGTACTCAATGTTCAATGTTCAACCTCCAGGCTCCCATCATGATACAACACTAGTTCCCATCTAACATGAATCTTTAACTGCCAGTGACCATGGTTGATTCCAGTGGCACAGCAAAGGATGTTTCCACACCACAAGTAGGTAATCATCATTCAACTCCAATCAGCCAATGCCTTGCTACTGTCAGTGGACAGCTCAAAATCTATGGCACCTGGTATTGCACAGAGGACAGGCTACTACAAAGAGCTAGACAAGAGCACTTGCCTTTATGAGTTAGCAAGTAGGTTTGAAGAGGTAAGCTTGTTGGGGCTTGAGTGTTCATATGAACAAGTAGATTGTCTGATGAGACGATACTGGGGACTCTAGCAGGGATACCCTGAGTTTATATACATGTAGCTGTATGCACAGACCAGTAACATATAAGGAAAGAGCTACAGTAGAGTTACTACATATCATAAAGAATAGCAGGGAATGCTATGGAATATGATGCAATAAGTGATGTCACTCTGATGTCACTGTGGAGCTGATCACAAAGCAAAGTCATGTGATGTACAACGTGTTGATGCATGTGTAAATCTAGAGTTGGAACTATTATAATATTTCCAACACTCCCCCTTGCTCTAGAATGGGAGATTAACAAGTCCCATAGACAAGCGATTCTTTTCAAACTTTTGCCACATCAAGGATTTAGTAAGACCATCTGCCTTTTGTTTATCGGTTTGAACATATTCAATACCAAATAAACCATCTTGTACACATTCGCGAATGAAGTGCCATTGGACATTGATATGTTTTGAATGACCATCTGATACAGGATTTTCAGCGATAAAGCGAGCTCCCATATTATTGCAGTATAGTATGGTCTTTTTGGTTTTGAATTGAAGTTCATCAAATAGCATGTGGAGCCATTTGATTTGACATGCAACATCACAGAGAGCCATGTACTCGGCTTCTGTAGAGGAGAGTGCAATCGTCTTCTGTTTATGTGATCACCAAGAAATGAGGGATGTTCCGAGGAACATTGCATAACCAGTAGTAGAATGACATGTGTCTTTATTAGAAGCCCAATCAGAATCCGCGAAGCCAAAGATCTGAGATTCGAGTCCAGAATAGTATAAGGCCATTTTTGGAGTAGATGCAATATAGTGAACTATATGCAGGGCCTTGTTGTGATGATCCTCTGTAGGATTCGCCATATATTGAGACATGCAATGTGAGTCAAAGTGTGGTTCAGTGGTGAAAACCAACCAAAACCAACACAAAAGACAAAAAGACTGAGTGGTGGTGTGCCTATGTGGTACCCAGATGGTAGAACCTTTGATTTGGGTGGTTTTTTGTGAGCTACAACACTCAAGGATGAGTGCTGAGGGTTGGGGGTGCTCCTGACAAAGAAGAAGCAGGAATGCAAGAGAATGTGATAGGGTAGACTGCTGTCAGCCTACAGAAGGATGGATGATGACTTAATTCAATGTCCTAAGCTGCACTGAGCTCAGGGAGGGCTTGGAGTGAAGTATATTGATGATAAACAAGGATAAGTGAAGTAGATGATAGTTAGACCCTTAATAAAGTCTCAACTATCAAAGCTGCTGAATGAATTACTGAGTGATGATAAAATGCAAGCAAGAGGGGCTCTCTGACATCTTCCTTCTTTTTTTTGCTATCTAAGTACAGTGATTTATATACAGTACAGGGGTGTTGCCCTTGGAAAACAAGGTGCAAACACTTGGTAAGTGATTGGTAACTGATGAGTAAGGAATGTAAGTGATGGGTAATCATCTTGGAAAGCATTGGTAAGCATTGGTAAGGATTAGCAAGCCAAAAAGCAAAGAATCAGTAAGCAAAGTCAAAAGATTGGTAAGTATTGGCAACAGGTGAGTCAAAGACAGTCAGAATGTCAAAGTATGAGTCAAGTAATGTCAGGAACCAGGAAAGTGCACTGGAATGACATTAGGGGGAGGCTGTGCATGTCACATCTCGAAGAGATTGCTTCTAGGCCAAGGTGGGATGACAGAGAGGCAGTGCTGATCTGATGCCAATATAGTACATCCAAAAGTGGACAGGGTGAGTCAGATGTCAACAGGGGTCAAGCTTTGGGGGTCTGTGGGGTGACAGGAGCATAGGAGATTGCAACTTTCCCCCCCAAACCATCCTCTCAGGGAAGCAAATAAAAACTTCATGAATGAGGCTCTGTTGGAAGAGAGGATGAAGGGGGAGTGTCTTCTGCTGTATCTTGCAACAAGGAGGCAAGATGTGCATCATACTCATCATGGATGTGATCAGGGAGAGTGGAGAACAGTAGATTATACTGTAGCTGTTGCAATCTTGGAAGAATGATGGATGAGGCCGGTATGAAGACATTGTAGGGAGCAGGGAGGAAGGATCCATATGCTTCTTGGACTGGAGAGACTGAAACAACCACATAAGACCTTTCCAAGTGAATGACAGACCTGAGGCAACCAAAGAACATCCTCCTAGAGGTCATACTGACAAAAAGAACATGCTGTCCAAGCTAGATGGGCTGAGAGGGCACAGACAAGGGTGGGATGTACCAGGATGCTTCAGGATGGAAGCTGGTAGGAACTCCTGGTAGATATATGTAGCCATGGTCCCTAGCAAAGGGGACAAGCAAAATGATTGATGTAGAGGCAGCCATATCAGAAGAATTTAGTGAAATGAGTGTCTTTTGGAGGGAGTGCTGTAGAAATGTGTGGAGTGTGCAAATCCTTTCCAATTTTGGAAGGTAAGATCATGTGGCTGAGCACTACAAGTGAGTGTGGGAATGGCCTCTGTATCTGCAGAAATGGCAGAGATATGTTGAAAACCAGAATGCCATATGTGGGTGCTTAAGAATTTTAGCCAGCACTTAACCTGCTCCCTTTCTTTTTCTCTGGCACTGATGACCTGTTCTTGTGCAAGGGATGACTGCTGACATTCCTGGCTGTCCTTCTTTGCATGAGGGCTATGGTCTTCATCTCCATTCATCAGCTGTACCCATGTCCACCTCACCAAACACCTTTGGTGTGTGACAGCAGGTATCCAAAACATTCCAAGCATCCTGTGCAGCTCCAGCATTTGCCAGTTGTGCGGTAGTGCTGTCAACAATGTTCATTATGCTGAGATTTTGAAGATATGCTTTCATTAGGACCAACCAAGAGGCATAGTTAACTCCATTGAGTTTTGGGATTTGCTTAGAGAGACCTTTGGACATCTAGTGTCAAAAGTCCATAAGCAAATGTTCATATAAGAATGAACAAATAGGATGAGTTGAATCAGAAGGTGGATGAAGGATGTGAGAT